CATCATACATTGGTGGTCTGTTGCGCCCGAAAATGAAAATACATATGTAGATGTGGTCGTGGGTTGTTTAGTAATATTTTGAAAGGGAAACAAAACTGCTGGGGAAGCTCAAAATCACATTCCATATTGATTGTATGGGCGAAGATTGCTGCCTTTTCATTGATTGGTGCTCCTCTATACGGTAGAGATGGGGCTGATCAACGAAAGTACCGCTATCTATGCTCTTGGTATCAGCATGCACGGTGATGAAGTGGCCCACGAGTACATAGGGGCTAAACATACACACATCTAAACGCTAGGGTCTTACAAAGTCAGCATTTGGCGACTAATCTTAGCATTTGGACGAGTTACGTCGCGCACACCCCATGACACGCAACGTGGATTACGGCGTAGCGGCTAATTCAAATACGCGCGGGTTAGTTGAGCCGTGGAGCAGGCAAGCTCATACAACTCGTCCGGCCCCGCCTTGTTTTTCGAGGGGAATTTTCGTTTTGGGCTTGGCGGTTTTTTTCACTTCTTTTTTTTATTTTAGTCAATTCGGCGCCACAGCCTCATTATCGAACGCTGTGACCACTCAAATTCGATCTGGCGTGTTGCTTTAAGTGTTTCTTGCAATTTTGTTTACTGTACATTACTCATCCACCACATTTACACCTTAATTTTGGGGCTCGGCAATTGCGGCATGTGCCAATGATTACTGATTTGTGGTCAGGATCTCTTGTCAAAGCTACAGTTACACTCGGGAAATGCCCATAATTACATTAGAAAGTAAGGCTTCCTTTTTGGTGGTCTCAATTGTTTTTTTTACTGGTAAACCAGGTCGCACTCATAGCTCATACTTCGACCCCACTAGCCACATGTTGCTCTCATATTTCATGTCCATGAACTGTTCGAGTAACAACAAATCGCATGTAGCTCAAATTTTATGTGCAAACTTATCCTAATAGACTGTGATTCTATGGCTGACCGTTGTGGAAGGGTAGTTTATTGAAGTTCGTGATTGACCACGGTCACCGACAGGTCTTATCACCAGCATGCATCAGGACCGCACGTACGGGGATGTCTTCTTTGCTCCTTCACCGGACGCAAAGCTCTTTTTAGCTTTTTTTGCAGTCGTGCTGTCACACAAGTCCTCAAATGAGGATTACACGATAGTGTTGGAGATTGAAGGAGGAGAAATACGCCTAGTCACAGGCAGACGGGCTCCTAGGGAGTGTATTTCGCGGCGAAGGGTATGCTCCAGTTCTGTAGAAGGCCCGTATCCGTCCTTTCGCGCCGCTGCACGCCTACCGTGAGTAACCCTTGCCGTGTACACTAGCCATTAACAGAGGGAGCGTCAGAGTTTATGGGACAGTGCCGACGTGACTCGCGTCAATGCGGTAATCAACAGGCAAAAAGGGTCCTTTTTTGGGCATCTAGGTCGCTTTCCTAGTTTGATGGTGAAAGGCGTCTTACACTCCATATCTGCTCAAGTTGTGTCACGGTTCGAACTTCAGGCTTTGGAACCTAAGTGTTTTTCGATTCTTTGAGTTTCATCAAGTGAGGAACCTCGTTAGAACGGGCTCGGCAAAAATCTCATTATTGGATCGGCCGGAAGGGTTTCGGCAACGATTGCGTGTTTAAAGTAGAAGGGAAGAAGAGATGAGAGCTGCTCATCGATGCTTTCTTGAGTACCTTAACGGAAATAGACATTAGTTCTTTGTTCTATGGTAAGATCCTACTAAGGAATTCATAGCACACTCTCCCTCGCTCCCTCGCTCTCTCAATTCCTTCTTTTGAATGCGTTATTCAAAGTATTGCAGCTTTATCGTTTTAATGAAATAAAAAATGAAAATTCGTGAAAAAATGAATGAAATTATTGGACAGAAGTGAGTGAATGCAAATGAAAGAAAGGTAGTTAGTGCGCAGAGCGTTTGGGCAGGCCCCCTTGGACCATCACGTACATATTGGTGGGTTCCTACATTCAATGAAGAAGTCGCTAATGAGGGGTGTGCGATTACCCCAGGTACACCACCCAGATGCGTGTTCGGTGCTGTTGTAAGTGACTTTCTGCTTTCTGAAGTGCTTATTTTTAGGACGCGGCAAAGATGCGATGGTACTGTTGGTGAGCGGCGGAAAGGAAGGTGGAAAATGGGTGATTCCTGGTGAGTTTGTTGAAAAAAGCCCAGTCTAAGAAGGACCTTTGTGTAACACTTTGGTTATCTCATGGGCTTTCGAAGCAGGTTTGAATTGGCCCATGTTCTGAGGCAAAGTTTGTTGTTAAGGTGGCGGCATTGAGCAGAACGAATGTGCGGAAGAAGCAGCTCGACGTGAACTGGAAGAAGAAGCTGGCGTGAAAGCGCGAGCGGTGGAAGTGATAGGACTTTTTCAGGTATGGTGTTCGGGCGTTATTCACCCTTTGATGCCCCACTTTCCCGAGATTAAGGAGGATTTTTCTAGCGAGTTCTCTGCGTTGGTGGATTTGCTTCTGATTTTCCCCAACGGTAGTGTGAGCTGTAGAACATGAATGTCGGTAAGCTAGCGCTAACGTCCCGAAGTCTTCGTTATTTATATTCTTATTCTTATTTATATTCGTTATAAAAGTTATCGTTAGCGTTTGGCGCAATCGTCCTTTGATGCGAGTTTTAAGCATTTTTGGGGTAGGATTCATGTTCTTCGAGTCATCCAGCCCACGGCATAAATTCTAGCAACTTTAGTGGTCAAGGGTGATTGAACGGCTTTTTGCGCCGGCGCTAGTCGCACGAGCGCTATGCTGTTAGTGTCAATGGCTCCCCCACTTTCTTCACGATTTGGGGCGCGGCCGCGGCAAACCCGCGGCGTTCGCGGCCGAGTAGTGCGGCATCAGCTTGCCTGAGTATTCGACGTTACATTACGTGTTAGTTCATCCGATCGTAACGACACGTAATGTAACGTCGAATACTCAGGCAAGCTGATGCCGCACTACTCGGCCGCGAACGCCGCGGGTTTGCCGCGGCCGCGCCCCAAATCGTGAAGAAAGTGGGGGAGCCAGTGTCAGTCGATGCGATATTCGTGTGCTACGATAAGCAAAGGAAGATGAGACAAATTTCGAGGAAAATTCACCCAATCTTAGAAAATGGGGTCGCCTAGGGTTTTTAGCACCGGTATTTAATCTTTTTTCTTCTGATTTTGTTTTTTGTGTAGTGAAGTTCCCTGTCACCACTGAGTGGTAGTCTCCCATTTAAGGACGATGATCGGAAGCATCGCACCACTGTGTTTCTTATGGAAGTTGTAGAAGAGCTGAGTGTTTGGCAAGAGGTCAGTGATACTTTTCGCATTATGAAAGCTTGTTTTTCATTTGGACAATTAGTGCACTTCAACACGCTACCCGGAAGAATATTCAGTATTGGGTATAGTCTCCTTAGAGGGCTCAAGGACGATGATTTGACTTTTCGGTGCTCTCACTGCTCTCTAGGTATGCCTGACCAACCTGACAGCAGGTGTTGTTCCGCGGACTTCGCACATATAGGAGATTATAGCTCAGTAACTCCGAAACTCATACCTAACTGCGTCCCATTCTTCAAGGAGGATTGTATGGGACCACTGGCGCCCGCGTCCACACCCCTCTCTTCCCCCACGGGCAGACCTTCACTGTGAAGAAATTTGTTTCGCCTAATTGGTGCGGGTTTTACCACCTTTCCAAGGTGCCCAAATACATTATCGGACACGAAAATCAGTAAATCATGTCAGTAATGAAATTATCTGAAAAATTTCCCAGATAGACGCACAAAGCGGTTGTCAGTGGATTGAATTATCTAATGTTTTGCTCCATTCTCTGAGAACTACTTATTTAACTCTGACCACCAGTTAGGCACTATGTACCACCACAATTTGCCGAACATTTTCGGGACAGAGTGCCCACATAAGGACCGAGTTTCAAAGGTGTGGAAAAGTTTTGTTGGAGTATAGGAGATTTAGTTCTCTTCGTACAAACCTATCCCAAAAACGTCAATTTTGCTGTTACGTGTTTCTGGGAAGGGTAGGACGGAATACCTATGCAATCCGCAAAGAATTGAACTACTCATAGTTATACCAATATTTCTTCACATAAACGCTTGACAATGACTTTTTGTTAGATAAGAACGGAAATGGAAGAGCGAAAGGATTGGCTCGCGTTAACACTGTCCCGAGATTATAATTGTGTTCGGGCTATTAGAGGATTCATACTTCGGTAGCAGACTTTTAGGGGAGAGAAAGCACTCCTGAGG